TATGCTTACTATGGGGGAATATTACTATACTTACTATGGATGACACATACACATCATTCATCTACTCTTGGTCCGGCCCCCGGGTCCAATATATTGAACCCATTGCGGCCCTCAAGTCTCTAAGTTTGCCCACCCCTGAGCTAGCCCATGAATTCCATATGGTAAAAATAGCTCCGGGACCAATATGAAAAAAAAACTAAAAGCTGAACTCCAGATAAAACGTTTATTTATAGTTTTAGATAACCATAACGAAACAGCAATTTACAATGGGACTAATCATTCAGCTCTCAGTTGTGGGATGGCTCTATTGAATTGAATGGCCGAGTTTGACAGGTGGTGTCAACATGTTTAATTTGCTGTAGCAGTGGTGCAAGCACCGCAGCCATGGCATGTTGACAACTCTCTCTGTCTGTATCGTGAACTTTATGTGGGTGTGTGGGGGGAGTTAAAACTGTGGCTCAGCCTTAGGAAGATTTCACCTCACTTTTTGTTCATATGACAACCTGTGATAGCAGGACTGGAACAAGGAAAACACAGACAATAATAATTACATAACAGGGGTTGTAACCCTTTTCCATTTTACTTAAAGAAGTGTTTTGTTGTCTGTATACCCACTGGAGAGATTTCTCATCACATCCTGTCCTAGCATTACTCTGTTGAACTATTAAAAAAACTTTTGTCTGGAGTTGAGCCAACTTAATGCTTTTTTCAGAGCTTTTCATAATAATGGGCAGCACAGAGGCTAAATGGTTAGCATTGCGGCCTTGCAGTATTAGAGTCGTTGGTTCATATCCCAACCACGGATGACCTGTCTGGAGTTTTCATGTTCTCCCTGTGCCTGCATGGGTTTCCTCCAGGTACTTCAGTTTCCTCCCACACTCCAAAGACATGCTGGTAGGTTAATTGGATCCTGTGTAAATTGGCCCTAGTATGTGTATGTATGAATGTGAGTTAGGGACCTTAGATTGTACGCCCCTTGAGGGTTAGGGACTGATGTGAATGTACAATATATCAGTAATAAAGCGCTGCGTAAATTGACAGCACTATATAAATACCTGTAAGAAATAATTGTTTTGCTTGAGTTTTTTTCTATATTCTTTCTAATGTCAATTGCTACATGAGAGATGTCAGAAGAAGTTTCCAAAAACATTTCCCGCAATATTCTGAAGAAAGCAATCGATGGTCTGAGACAGGAGGGCTGGAGTTATATAGGTAAGCTCACATGGTCATAAAGCTATACACTGGTCCCATTGACTTCAAAAGACTGATCCAAGAAACATGGTACTATAATGTCCTAAACTGATTATATGGTAACAGCAGTGCTGAAAGGCAGAACCTTGAGCCTGCAAGCATCCTGAACTGATTCTATTGTATAAGCAGTCCTGAAAGGCAATACATTGGGCCTGCAAGCCCTTGGGTGAGACTTCAGATCACTCCCCATGTACCCGTTTAGTCATTTGTATCCTAGGCCCAGTCTGTACAGAGAAATTCGACTTCTGACAAAGTCAAGGTTAAAGTGTACATAAACCCTTAAAGTGACTGTAAACCTAAAAATATTTATTCTTTAAAATAACGTCATACTTAAAATGAAAAATAGATGCAGCGCTCATTTCTAGCTATGCCTATTTGTTGAAACATGTATGCTGTTTTTACTGTCACTATTCTGTAGCTAAATAAAGACTTTGATACGAATGTGCAGGTTACCGGTTCTTCCCACCTATCTGTAACCATGTCGTACTTACCTGCTCTTGCAATGGTTTTTAACAGAACAGCCCTGATCCTCCTCTTCTCAGTTCCCCCACTGGCTCTCCTAGCTCCCCCCCCCACCTAGTGCCCCATAGTGCTATGGGGGCACTCATGTGGGTTTGCTCCCCAGCAACGCTCGGTTTGTTTATTGACAAACAGAGTGAGGCTTGGCCCTGCCCCTTCTCCCTCCTCACTGACTGTGCTTGTCAGCAGCGGGAGCCACTGGCTCCTGCTTCTGTCTCTGAGCCTATGAGGAGGGAGAAAGCAGAGAGAGCCGCTGCTGCTGAATCAGGCACAGTGCTGAATCAAGATCAGGCTCTGAGCCTATGAGAAGGGAGAGAGTGGAGAGAGCTGCTGTTCTCAGGCACAGTGCTGAATCAGGATCGGGCTCTGAGCCTATGAGAAGGGAGAGAGTGGAGAGAGCTGCTGTTCTCAGGCACAGTGCTGAATCAGGATCGGACTCTGAGCCTATGAGAAGGGAGAGAGTGGAGAGAGCTGCTGTTCTCAGGCACAGTGCTGAATCAAGATCAGGCTCAGGTAAGTATAAAGAGGGGCTGAAGGAGGGCGCTCTACTCAGAAGGTTTTTTTTTTCACCTTAATCCAGAAAATGCATTAAGGTAAAAAAAAAACCTTCAGCCTTTACAACCACTTTAACAATGAACTTCTTTTATTTTCTCCCTTTTGGTTTGTGAAATCTACCATTGAAAGCCTTTGAAATCTGCAGGCTAGAGACAATAAAATGGAATTATAACTTTAAAGCAAATAGTATTGAAGGTCTCAGTCCCTGTTTAGGGACTACCATGTAAATTGCCTGTTTCACACCTCTTGTGAACCAGTTGCTCTTTCTGTCCTCGAAAGAATGCCCCCCATAGAAAAACTGCTGAATCTTGACCTGCAGAATTTGCTCTCCTATCGTCGTTTGTTGAGAGGTTGTTTATCTCCCCAGTGTACAGGTCTTTACATTCCTCACTATACCGCACTGTATATACCAAGCCACTTTGCTTGTGTTTGGGTGTTGGGTTTTTGGATGTATGAGCTTCTGCCTCAGTGCATTTCTGGGTTTTCAACGACACAGGACAACTGAAGAAGTAAAGTTATGGAGCATCTTTACCATTACAGAACAAAGTTATATGTGATGTGACTGCTACTCGCTATACCATGACCTGGATAAATGAGAACCTACATCTAAGGCCAACCTGCAATATACTTCATTTATGCTATTGGATTAGGTGCACTTTAAAGACAGCCCCTCACGATACTAAGCCCACACCTTTCCTTCAACTACCAGAACCACTCCTACCCATTAAAGTTTTGACATTTCACAGGTAAATGACAAGAGGTGGGACTTTATCTTGCCTTTATTATAAGTTGAATCTCCTGGGCCTAAGATCCATAGAAGCTCCACAGGAATCAAATTAAAGACTAATGCAGATTCTTGAAAGCACCAAAGCTTGGAACACTTTAGTACTGCTGTTACCCCAAATGGTCATGCCAGGTTAGGTGCACTTTAACAGACTATTATGGTGTTGTCACGCACCTAAAGAAATGTGGGCAATACTTATGTTTTCACACATTATTTGAAAGTTACATTTACTGACGATGTTACTTATGTGACCAGGTCTCTTTGGTGCCAAAATTATGGTGACTGCGCGTGGTCCAGTGGTGCTTGGATTTAGATGTACCTTTCAAGAGCTGGATAACCAAGTAATGTTTGGGGAATGTTCTGTACATTCTGTGTGCCATCTATGAAGATATACCATTTCTACTCCTATGTTCTAATTATTCATTCACAGGTCATCTCTCCCTTGCTGAATTCTGACCTATATGAGGTGATTCAGACAGCCACTGAAGGAAATCTTTCTTCTAATTTACCTGTGTGGGGTCAGGGCACAAGTCTGTCTTATTCTTCCTCAAAGCAGGGAAATATACAGGGTAAGCAAGATTCAAGAGTCAATTTACAATACTTATTGTGATATCTGGGGGTTGTTTAGCTCAAGGTAGCACTTACCAGTGACTAGAGTCCACGCCAGAAATGATTGTTTAAAGGCTTGTTGGCCCACTTTTATAAAAGAAAACAAAAAAAGTCCATACAATGTATGTTTCTCATGCAGGGGTATCCACCATCAAAGCAAAACAAAGATCCAGCCTCCTGGCTCTCTTTAGCTCACCACTGCTTTATGCCTCGGTCCTCATGACCATTCACGTACAAAAATGCTGTACCTTTGTTAGTACACTTTCACAGCATTCCTGCTTCTCCAGCCCACAGACTTGGACCCTCTGTCTGCTCTGTTAGACTATACTGTGCCACCATGTATGCATGTGGCTGCTCCATTGCACCTACATGGACTCCTAGGAGGGTGGAGCCTGGATCCCTGGTCCTGTCTCTACAAAAAGCCCAGATCTTACCTGTACAATCAGTGTCCTGGCTATTCCTAAACCCTGGTCCCAGAACTGGAGATTTCCTCCCATCCAGATCACTGCGCAATCTCCAGGCTCCAGATCCCAAAGAGAGTTTTACCAAATACCGAGGAAACTGAAAACACAGTTTCCTCCAAATTAGACAAGCATTGTGGAGACCCTCAACCTGCCTAGTTGAGAAACCTGGGCAACATACACCATGACAGGGAACCATACTGTCACATTATACACACTCACATATGTTCTGTAAAAGGCCTTCTTCAACAGCAACTCATATATGCTTGGTTCATCTAGTCTTTTGTTGCTGGTGGGTTCCAGCAGCCCCCCCCACTGAAATTTCTCAATCTGTCCCCTTCTCTGGATATTTCAAAATAAGCATTTTCCATAAGGTAATATCAATGTTGAATCCAGTGGCAGGAGTGACATATCCTTATAATAAACAAGGCAAGGGTTGGAAGTGGGAACTCAATTTTGGAGAAATCACCTCTTGAGTCTCCTAGAAATATAAGAATCTGTTAATTCAACCACCAGCACCTAGCAAGGCTGACTGCCCTTTAAATTAAGACTTTTTAGTTTTGATTATAATGAGAAAGGGTAAAACCTCTATCTGGCCTTCTTATTGTATTATTCTGTATTCCCAGTGGAGATTTTTTCTTCAGTTCCTGCCTTGGTGACCACTGCCAGAAAATGGAAAGTATAAGGAAATCACCCAAACAGGGACAAAGACAGCAATATAATCCCGATAAAGCTTTTAAGCCATCCCACGCTAATCAAAATAAGTGTCCCATTTTGCTTCAGATCGAACCACCTACTCACTACTTCATACACCCAGCTTCACCATTACTGCCAACATCAACATTACTGACATCACTACTTGTCATGTACTGCTATCATTGTGCCCAGTCCCATGCTGTTGCACTGTCAGGTATCCTTCCTGGGTTTTGATCTCTAACTCTATAAATAGGGTTCATGTCAGGGGCGGACTGACAACTCATGGGGCCCCCGGGCAATAGGGGATCATGGGGCCTCTGTGTCCTTGCCCAAACTCAAAAAAGCCTATGAAAAAGGTACCAGGGGTATCTCATGGGTCACCCTACTGACCCCGGGCCCTTGGGCAGTGCCCGAGTTTCCAAAACGGTCAGTCTGCCCCTGGTTCATGTGATACACACTTGAAGAGAGTGCATCCTGCATTCTGAGCACATAACAACCCCTATGCTTGCTTGGCCATAATGAACCGTTATAAGTTAGAACGGACTACACATTTCCCACTGTTGGACTCCAGAGAGAAGTAGATGAGGCTTCCAAACTGACCATATTTACACAGTTTCTTTATGGTAGGCTTCATCAATATAACACATAATATTGTCATGTGACATAATGGTCTTCTTTTTTGGTGAAATTAATTCCATAGCAAGAGCTCGAGATCCAGAGGAGCTTCTTGCCATGACAAAGATGGGAAAGTGTGAGCCCACTGGAGAAGCAGTCAGTCCTTCTATGAGATCCTTTGTGGCATTTCCAGGGGCCATGTACAGCAAAGATGGTGGATTTGCAGATATAGTCCATCAGCATACAGAAAGGTGTGTGTATGTATGTCTTCACAATAGTAGAAGGGGCATTCAAGTCAAACCGGACTTTTCATTTTAAATTAATAAAAATGGTTGCTAGCATGGCGATACTACACGCAGTAGCAAGTGGCAAGTGTGTCCTATTACTGATAGGCGGCGCACAAGTCAGGGCCAGTCCAGAGACCATTAATCAAGATGGCAGACAACAGTGTAAGTGTGTGCATGGAGCAGCATGTGGTGATGAAGTTTTTTGTGAACAAAGGCATAAAACTGGCAGATATTTACAAAAAATGTCAAGCACAATATGGTGAAGAGACACCCAGCTGCAGTAAGACATTCAAATGGTGTAAACGTTTCAAAGATGGCCATATGTCCATCAGTGATGATTCCCGCCATGGTGGTTCCCAGCCCACAGTAGTCATTCCTGTGAACATTCAGCACGTGGAACGCCTCATCCTGGATAATCAGCACATAACCTTGTCGTGAAATTGCAAAAAAACGAATATTTCTGTTGGAAAAGTGAACACTATCATTCACAAAGTGAAGCAGGCTGTCTTAGGATGGTTCAGGCATTCTGACAAATCATTCTATGCTGAAGATTTCCAGGCATTAGTTAAATGCTGGGATGAGTGTATAAATGTAGCAGGGGAGTATGTGGAAAAATAAATGCAGTTTCCAATTTTTGAAATTTGTTCTTTTATTATATGAATATAAAATTTTACTTGTTTGACTTGAACGCCCATCGTATAGTCATACAGATAGTCATTTGTTTATGTAAATGTTTTCAGAATATACAGTATACCATAAAACATTAACATGCTATAATCAGGATTAGTAAGAAAAGGCAAAGATTTTGATTTAACTGGTTTTACTGTTTCACACTACAGGTCCAATTCTCACATTCCAAATGAGACCCAAATAACTGCCGATTCTGCTTCTGACCATACAGAGATTGGATCTAAAGGTATTGCCTCTGGCTCTGTTAATAATTGGAACATCTCTCACTTGAAATACAATGGAAATACAAATTGTTCCTAGTCATATCTTTCATCAGTCTGTGTCCCAGTAAATCTGCTGTAATTTCTGGGCTCCTGTAGGAGTAGGTTTATGCCGAAACACATAGAGAAAACCAACATGAATAGAGGGAGAATACAAAAAAATCTATATAAATGTTACAGTTTACTAGTCTGCAGATGTGTGGCTGGCTGCATTAGTTTTCTTTCTGTACTCTTCATTTTCATGCTTTGATTTTGTTTGATTCTAATCAGGTGACCAGTCTGTCTATTTTCTGATCCGTGTGTTGTACCTACACAGATGTGGGATGCGCTTCTGGGGGATCTGTGCAGTCGGCCGCCTGTCATTGAGTTGAACAGGCTGCCTGCATGGGCACAGAACATCTTTACCTCTTGTGCCGGTGAAGATGGCCCTTGGCACAGGTGTATGGATAGATACTCTCTTGTGAATGAGGCCATACACTTCTTGTCCTGGGGTGACAGCACTCACTTACTGTACTGTACTTATGGAGGAGCAGCACTGTCACCCTAGAACATGACTAGAGAACACTTCCCCCTCCTCTTCTCTATAGCATAGGGTGGAGGTGTTCTGTAGTCCTAACCCACATCCTGATAACACCACTTGAGATAACAATACAGACTACGCAGACAGCACAGATACAAGAAAACTATTTCAATGGTATATTTAGTAGACCAAAGTATATTATTAGGGTTTACATATACATTAAAAGGTTCAGAAATCAACCCCAGCAGGATTCACTTCTACTTAATTTGCAATAAAATATAGCACCGATATTTAAAAGGTGTCATAGCAGAAATCGCCTCTGTTTCATAAATTCTGTGCAGAAATTAAATTATGGGATTAAATCTGGAAGGAAAGTTTTATGTCTATAGTAAATGTTAAGCCTCATGTTATATCCAGCAAACATTTAAAGGGTAAATGGTTTTTTTAATTTTTGTGTTTTGGAGCGCCGCAGTGCGTTTGAACAAAAACCATGAAATCACATCACACAAAATAGTGCACAGAGGGCAGGTCTGCTGTTAGAAACCACAGGGCCCTATACAGCCAACCTGACAGCCCCCCCCCCCCCCCCCTCAATAAAACACAGCTTACTATGCTTCAGTTAAGAATGAACACAGTGAGTGATCGGTACCGATCACTCATTGTGCTCATTCAGGAAAGGAAGGGACTGGTAACTGTGACCTTCCCCCACTCTCCATCCTGAAGGATCCCATTGTGTTCTTGCAGCTGCCGTTGGAAAGGAGAGGAGGGAATCCGGCAGCACTGTGGGGGCACAGGATGTAGGGATCGGTTCCAGTAACTGCCCCCCCCCCCGCAGGGCTGATCACCCTCCCTGCTCACATCCAATTTACCCAGCTGCCTGGGCCCTCTTGCTGTCCTGGGTCCCGTACAGGAGGACTGGTGGCACCCCCTTATCCACAGACCTGGCAGAGGGTACAGAAATGGCCAAACCTCAGAAGGGCCTCGAACCCTAAACTCTGCAAGGTGCAACACTCTTGATAGGGGGCAAGGTATGCCATGGTGTACCTAGGCTGAAGCCAGGAGGACCCCACTCCATAGGGACCAGCCTAAACAGGTCCACCTATTACTTGGAGAGGGTATATGGCTGCCATCCCTGGCTTATATGCTTAATTCTTTGTTTCAATTTTCATCTTTAGCACTGATGAACATCCATCAGCCTCCCGGGAAGACTGTTTGTTCCTTTGAGGTGAACGCAGCTCAGTATAAGGATCCAGTGTTCCTATGTACCACCAACAGCATTGGGAATAAAATAAAGGTGAGTTGTTAGACTGACCAGTATGGGGCGGGTCAGTGATCTTGTGCTGTTAAGGTAGAGAGTTTTCCATTTAGCCATGTTACTTTATTAAACGATGCCCATTTGCACAAGCCCCACCCCTTTTATCATTATATTATTAAAATTCAAAACATTAACAATAACATATGAAGCCATTTATAACTCTGCCCCAAATTACATCACCAATCTTGTCTCCAAATATCACCCAAACCATCCTCTCCTCCCACAACCTCCTGCTCTCTATCTCCCTTGTCTCCTCCTCCCATGCTCTTCTCCAGGACTTCTCCAGAGCCTCTGGAACTCTCTACCCCAATCTATTAGACTAACACCTACTCTGCCCACTTTTAGGCGATCTCTGCAAACCTATCTCTCTTAGGGAAGCCTATCCTGCCTCAGGTAATAACCAAATCTTCTATTCCTCCTATCAGTTCATCTCCCACAGTTATTGCCTTTTGTACCACCAGCCCCTCCCTCTTAGATTGTAAGCTCCTAGGATCAGCCCCTCCTAACCCTCTTGTATTGAACTGTATTGTTGCTGTATTGTCTCCCATTATATTGTAAAGTGCTGAGCAAACTGTTGGCGCTATATAAATCCTGTATAATAAATAATAATATTATAAAAGTAAAAAACTAATGTTGGAATGCACTATTGGAGGAAGCACACTGTCTGCTGCAGATGCAAAGCTACTCCTTAAAGCTGAACTATGGCCAAAAAATTATTTTTTGGACTTATGCATTGGAAAAAAAATTATCACTAATAAAAGGTGTGCCATATGTGGGCTTGGGAAAACTCAGAGCGAACAAACATAGAGTGCCGCTTGAACCTCCACTGAAGTGAACCCAGTGATTCACACCCTGCTGAATGCAGGACTGTAATCATGAACACATGCTTAAGCTTGGGTTCACATATGTGCGGTGCGGTATATCACATGTGATTTGCACAGGAACCGCACCGCATTCCTGTGCAAATCACATGCAAATTGTGTACGTTGCGATTGTATATTGTACATTTTGTATGGCTCTATTCACACCGCACCCGCACCAAAAACGTGCAGGACCCTTTTTTTGGTCTGCACTAGAAGCGGATTGCATGGGTATTCACACCTATGTGATCCGATTCTGCACATCACACCGCATTTTTCGGGGTGTTGTTAACTTATCATATACACGTGCAGCAGTTCGCATGAACGGGGTGAAAACGCTGTGAATTCCGCACCACATCAGTGTGAACCAGGGTTAAATGTATTTTTAAATTTAAAGCGGAGTTCCACTCACTCTGTAAAAAAAAAAAGTTAGCAGCTACAAAAACTGTAGCTGCTGACTTAAAAAACATCCACTCACCTGTCCCACGATCTCACGTTGCCCCCGCCGCAGCCCGTTTCACCAGCTGTCCTGTATTCCAGGCGCTGGCATCTTCAGTGTGGGCACCCAGCTGTGACAGCCGGGTGTGCCCACTATGCATGCACGAGTAGCACTGCGCTTCCTGAATGGCCCCGTTGTCTTTTGGGACCTGTCACATGTCCTAAAAGACTTCGGGGAGGGAGGGTAGGAGGACAACTTCCGTTTCCGATCGCCTAGGTGATCGCAGCGGAAGTGGGAACCTGTCAAATTCGG